TTCATATCTTAAAAAAAAAGAGGCTATTTTATGACTTACAGTGAAGAACTCAGGTCACAAAGAGGGTTCACAACCTGCCCTGTGTCAAAGTTAGTGGGTACGGAGGAAGAAAGGCTCTCCCTGTCTGGATTCAATTCTGGGCCCACAGATCCCACATTCCTGGCCATGAAAGCACAATGCTCATCTGAGTCTGTTTCCTCCTGTGGGCCCTAGAATCGCATCAGACCTGTCCTTTTTTTTGGTACCGGGGATCAAACTCGGGACCTTGTGCTTGAGAGGCAGGCGGCAGAACCACTGAGCTAAATCCCCGGCCCTAGACCTGTCCTTACAAGTGAGGCTCTGATCCAGTGGACCCTGCATGCGCAAGGCCTTCTGCAAGTGGCACACCATTGGTGGCATCCAAGCCAGCGTGAGGCTCAGTGTACAAGAGGCACCAGGGCTCCCTGGCTGCTCCTCCCACCATACATGACCCCAAAGTGACCTCCCCCCCTGCGGCCTCCAACAGAACCTGGTTTGAACCCAGACATCTCTGGACACCCTCGCTTGGGTGCCCGGGCCAGTGCCAGTGGAAACAGAGCAAGGGGTTAATCTGTGACTCCCTTTGTGCCCAGGACACACACACCCCTCTTCCTAATGGCCCCCCACTAACATCCCACACTGCCTGCCTGCTGCGGGGGACAACTGGCCAAGTCACTCATCAGCCAGGGGCCAGACTCCCTGAAAGAGGGGGCAGGAAGAAGGAACAGGAGGGGGTGGACAGGGCCAGCAGGTGGCTGTAGGCAGAGGAGCCAGTGGGGGGCCCCAGGCTTTCTGCACAGCCACCCTGGCCCACTGCCTGCTGGATTCCTGGAGCATTGAGCTGTTTGTTATTTCTGGGGCCACTTAGCACTTTATCATCCTAGGATCTCAGAATAATAGAATAAGAGCTATCTATTGAGCAAGGGCCTATATCACATGCCAGGATTTTACCTAAGGTTTCTCTAATTCTCACACCAATTTTGCAAGGTCAGCCTGGTATCAGCAAGATATCAATGTCACTTTTTATTTTCTTTTTTCACTGGTACTGGGGGTTGAACCCAAGTCCTTCTCACTAAGCTACATCCCGAGCACTTTTTAATTTTTTTTATTTTTGAGACAGTGTCTCACTAAGTCACTAAGTTGCCCAGGCTGTGCTTGAATTTGCCTCGACCTTGTAGACTGCTGGGATTACAGACATGCACTACCACATCCAGCTAATGTCACCTCTCTTATACCAACGAGGAAACCAGAGTTTGGAGGGTGAGTGACTACCTGACGCAAGGAGTCTCAGGTAAACGGCAGTCAGGACCCAACTGAGCCCAAGGCCAGAGAGGCTCCACCTTTACCCAGCCACCTCTCCTGCCATCTCCCTCCCTGCAAACCCTGGGTTCTTCCTGGGAAAGGTTTGAGGTCAGGACTTGGGAGGCTCAGAGGGTTGACTGAGCCTTGGCCTCCAGGAAGAACCCAGCAGGAGAAAATGCTGGTTTCTTGGGTGGCATCTCAGGACCCTCGGAAGCAGCAGCTTCTCCAGCCCAAGTGGGTACCCAAGGGTGGGGGCTCCAGTTACTTACTGGGGTTAACCCCACCAGAAAACACCTCACCTCCCTGCTCCACCGGCTCTCACAGGCACTGCACACCCTAAACTACAAGCCTTCGAGAGATGCAGGCAGAGACCAGAGGTCCCCTCACGCCCCACTGACAGAGCTGCTGAATTGCAGCTGCTACTCTGCACGGATCCCAGCCTGCACCCGGGCCCTCACACGGGAGTGGGGCTGCTGGCCTTTGCACTCCAGCATATTCCACCTTGTGTCCTGTTCCACCAGACCCCAGGATTTTCCTCTCCCTTCTCTCTCTCTCCCTCTCTCTCTTGCCTCCAGTTCTCCACCTCTCATTGCCCTTCTCTCTTCTCTGGATCCCCTTCCTCCCCCTTTCTTACTCCCACAGCCCCTAGGAGAGAGCAAACCCCTCTCTGATGTTTACACAGCCCTAGAGTCAGGAACACCAAAAAATATGAGACCTTTTGGGAGCCACATTCCAGGAAAATGAGAAGCCAGTCACAGCTCGGTGTCACTTTCTCCCCCAGCCTTGCCCCTCCCTGTCAGGCCGGGTGTGTGTGTGTGTGTGTGTGTGTGTGTGTGTAAGTGTATATGTGGCTCCAAGGCTAATTATTAACCCCTGCATGTCTGCCTAATCTCTGTCCCTCCTATGCTTTAGGGAGATGGCCCAAGAGGGGCTCCAACTTTTTGCAAGTTTTTAATAAAGCAGAGAGGAAATGGTTTCCCAAGACCCCTCACCCTGCACCCCCAACCCAGGTGAAGCAGAAGCCAGGAGACCACAGAGGTAGAGATGGAGGAATCAGCGACTTCCTGGGGGCCTGTAGCCAGGAGTGAAAGAGGAGCTTCCGGGACAACACAGGTCAGTCTGGGGATCTGGCATCAGTCAGGGGCCATGGGAGAAAGTAATGCAGACCCCTGGGCCCCACCCCAGACCCACTGCACAAGGTGATGCCAAGGATTCTTGGCAGGGAACAGTGACACACAGTGAAGTCACAGCCCCACAGGGAAGAACAGCGCATGGAGCAGAAGCAATGCCCTGTGTCATGAAAGCCATCAGGCCTTGGAGCCACTCAGCCCTGTGCCGGAAGCCAGCTCCCTGCCTGGCAGCTGTGCGGCGGTGCGAGGTGTTCAGCTCAGCATCCTCACCTCCGAGTGGGGCCAACCAGTCTGCTCTGTGTGTGTCCACAGACCAGGTGGGGCAATGCCAAACAGCCCTCCTGCATAGGATACACAGTAAGCAGTATCTAAAAACTAAGCCGCCACAGTGAAAACCCTGTGAGAGCAAGCAAAAAGGAGGTTCTTTGGACTGGTCAAAACAACTGAGAAATTCAGCCAGGCATGGAGCCACGTGCTTGTCGTTTCAGCACTCAGGAGGCTGAGGCAGGATTGCCGCAAGTTTGAGGCCAGCCTGGGCTACATAGAGAGACTTTGTCTTGCTTGTCTCAAAACAAACAAACAAAAACAATGACAAACCTTCAATTAGACAGACCAAGAAAAAAAGAAAAAAACCTCAGATTTCAGAAACAGAAATGAGAGTGCAAAGCATGCAGCGCACACCTGTGATCCTAGCACTCTGGAAGGCTGAGGCAGGAAGACTGCAAGCACGTTCAAGCCCAATGGGTAATGTAGTGACTTAGTGAACCGTGTCTCAAATTTTTTTTTAAAAATGTAAAAAAGGGGGCTAGGGATTTAGCTCAGTGGTTCCATTGCCTGCCTCGCAAGCACAAGGACCCAAGTTCGATCCCCAGTACCAAAAAAAAAAATGTAAAACGGGGCCAGGAATACAGCTCAGTTCGAAGACCCTGGGTTCAATTCATAGAAAGGGAGGGAGGGAGGGAGAAAGATTACTGTCAACCTTACAAAAATAAAAAGAATTATGAAGGAATACTATGAACAACTGTTAAGTCAAAAAATCAAGATAACTAAAATAAAATGGATAAATTTCCTAGAAGACACAAACTATCAAAACTGACACAAGAAAAAAAAAACTGACACAAGAAGAAGCAGAAAAGCTGAACAGACCTATAACAGATTGAATTAGCAATGAAAACCCTACCCACAAAGAAAAGCCGAGACTCAGGTGACTTCATGGGAGAATTATATCAAACATTTAAAGAAGATTCAATATCAGTTGTTCACAAACTCTTCCAAAAGGCTGAAAAGGAACCAGGTAACATGATGGGCATCTGTAGTCCCAGCTACTCAGGAAGCTGAGGCAGGAGAACCACTTGGGCCCACGAGTTTGAGACCAGCCTAGGCAACATAGTAAGACCCTGTCTCAAAATAACCAACAAACAAAACAAAAAGCAGCTACAAAAAGTAGAAGGACAGGACCTGGTGGCCTATGCCTATAATCCTGGCACTTTGAGAAACAGAGAAGAATCACAAGTTCAAGTTCGGCTTGGGCAACTTAGGTATGTAGTGAGACCCTGTCTCAAGATTTTAAAATTGGGCCGGGGATTTAGCTCAGTGACACAGCACCTGACTGGCAAGTGCAAGGTCCTGAGTTCGATCCCCAGTACCAAAAAAAAAAGATTTTAAAATTTAGAAAGGCTGGGGCTACAGCTCACTGTAAAGGTCCTAGGCCTATCCTCAATACCACAAAAATAAATAAATATATAAATAAATAGCTTTCTACTTCATTTTAGAAGGCCACTATTGTCTTGATACCAAAACCAGGCAAAAACATTATAAGAAAAATACACTATAGACTATTCTTTCTTTTTTTTTTTTTTTCTTTTGCAAGGCAGGCACAGTGCCACTGAGCTAAATCCCCTGCTCTTTCTTATAAATATAGAAGCAAAAAGTCCTCAACAAAACATTGCCAAATTTAATCCAGTAACATATAATAAAAAGAATTATACCATGACCAAATGACATTTATCCCAGGAATGCAAGGTAGCTTTAGCACTTGAAAATCAGCCAGGCATGGTGGCACACACCTGTAATCCCAGCACTCAGGAGGCTCAGGCAAGAGGATCACTTCGAGTTCAAAGCCAGCCTGAGCTAGATACCGAGTCCAAGGCCAACCTGGACTACATAGTGAGATCCTATCTCAAAAAACAAACAAACAAAAAATGAAAATTAATTCATATAATACATAGCAATTGAATTTAAAAAGCACTTGATCATTTCAAAATGTATTTGACAAAAATCCAACAACACTCCATGAATTTTAAAACACTCAACAAACCAAGAATTGAAGGAATGTGCTCAACCCAATAAAGGGTGTCTATGAAAAAAAAAAAACAAAAACACCAAATATCTTGCTTCATGGTGCAAGGTTGGATGGATTTTCCCTAAGATCAGAAAAATCAAATCCAAACCATCATGAACTACCACACCAAAATCCACTAGAATAAATGTAATCAAAAGTCAGATAATAACAAGTGTTGGCAAGAGTGTGGAGAAATGGTAACCTACATACTTTGCTGGTGAGAATATAAAATGGTGTCAAAGGGTTGAATTGCACTCTCCATAAGAGATACGTTGGAGTCTAACTCCCCAGTACCTCAGAAGGTGGCTTCATTTGGTCCAATTATTTGAATTATGGGGAAGAGCCAGAAGTCACACAGTGCCAGATCAGGTGAACAAGATGGATAAGGACACAGCCGAGTGTTTGTACAAGCCTGCTTTTCCATTGGATGGCACTCAGCAGCAGCATTCACTGAATTCTTAAATCAAACCTCGTGAAGATATGAAAGAGGACTTCCAGAATGGCTTCAGAAAGTGCCAAGAATGATAGGGTAAGTGCATTTGAAGCAACGGGGAGTATTTTGAGGGGGAATTTGTGGCAATGTGTCTTTTACTGTAATACATTTTTTAACATTCACCATATATTTTGATCAGAACTTGTACAGAGACAGGAAGTAGATTAGTGGATGGTTGAGGGGGGGACAGGGAGAACAGAATAGAGGGACTGAGGTATAACCACTGAAGTGTATGGGTTTCTTTCTAAAGTGACGAAAATGTGCTAAAACTGAGTGTGGTGATGGTTGCGCAATTCTGTGGATATACAAAACAAAAATTGCTTTTTTTTTTTTTCAGTACCAGGCAGTGAACTCAGGACCTTGTACTTTCGAGGCAGGCACAATGCCACTGAGCTAAATCCCCGGCCCTGCATTATACACTTTTAAGTGCATGGGTTGTACACCATGTGAATTATACCTCAATAAAGTCATTATGAAAGAGTCAGGGAGGCCCAGAAAGCACAGTGAGGGACATGGCTTTGAACTCGGTGCCACCGAGGGCAGAAAGACAGAGCTTCTGAAGCTAATAAGCAGTGAGTGGTTCTCAAACAGGCTGCAAGGAAGACTCTCCCGGGAAGTTTTATTTAAATAAACTTTATTAAGGTCAAATCTATATACAGTTAAATGTATCATTTTAAAAAATATAGTTCAATGAGTTGTGCTTTGCTTTCGTTGTATTGGGGATTGAACCCAGTGCCTTTGCACTGAGCTACATCCCCAGTCCTCTTTTGACTTTTCAAGACAAGGCCTTGTTAAGTTACCAAGTGGCCCAGGTTGGGCTACATCTTTCGATCCTCCTGCCTCAACTTCCCAGAGTCCTGTGAACACTGTAGACCACCACAACCAGCTCATTCAATGAGTTTCGACAGGTGTACACACCCGGAGAACTACCACAGTCAAGAAACGACATTTCCTTTCCCCAGAAACACGCCTTCAGTCTTCCCATCACCCCCAGTGCCCGGTAACTACCAAGCTACTCTGTCACCAGAGTTTTGCCTTTCCTTAAAAAGGGAATCATCCAGGACATGCTTGCTCTGGGTCTGGCTTCCCTCACTCCACACAGTGTTTTGGAGACTTCTCTATGCTGTTGTGCACAAGAATAGTTTGTTCCTTTTTACTGCCAGGGGCCGTGCACTATGCCTTTATACCACAATGCGTTTATCCATTAACCTGCTGTGGAGTGGCTGGATCCTTTCCAGTTTGGGGCCCTAGGGAATAAAGCTGCCGCCCGTGTGTGCACAAGTCAGTCATTCTGAGGAGGGGATGTGCTTTTATTTCTCTTCAGTACATTCCTTGGGGTGGACCTGCTGGGCATACAGACCGCATCTGAGGCACTTTATAAGAAATGGTCAAAATGCTTCCAGAGCGGCCCCACCATTTCACACCCTGATGCTGGTGACTACTTTTAAAATTCCCTGCTTCAGGGAACAGGACCCAGGACCTAGGCATCAGAGCCTGTTTACTTGTTTGTTTAGGCTGGGCTAGGGTTTGGGGGCTTTTTGTTGGTTTTTGTGGGGTTTGGTTTTGGTTTTGTTTTTGGCTCTTTGAAACAGGGTCTCACTGAATTGGCCAGGCTGGTCTTAGATCGGCCATCCTCCTGCCTCAGCCTCCCAAGTAGTTGGAATTATAAGCATGCACCACCACACCCAGCATCAGCAGTATTTTTAAAGCATCCAGGTGATCCCAATGTACAGATGAGCTCTCAAACCCCTACTGCAGCTCTCAGGCTCAATGAGGCCAGCAAACCAGTCAAAGACACTATATTTCCCTACAGCATCTCCTCCTCTTCCCTGATCATGGACACAGAGAAGAACAAGCAAAACTTACACAAGACTCTCATCTTGACACCACCACCTTCTATGAGGTGGGAAAAAGCAGAAAGAAAAAAATAGAGCAAATCGATATTAGCAACATTTTGACATCTGAATTTTGATCTTGGCATTTTAGTTGGGTTAACATCCTCAGTGCTCACAAAAACACTACAAGATGAGTCCCACTATAATCACCATGTTACAGATGAAGAAACAGGCTCAGAGAGGTTTGGTAACTTGTGGAAGATCACACAGTAAGTTACTGATACAACCAGGATTTAAACTCAATAGTCTGGCCGGGGATTTAGCTCAGTGGTTCCACCACCTGCCTCGCAAGCAGAAGGACCCAAGTTCAATCCCCGGTACCAAAAAACAAAAAACAAAAACTAAACTCAATAGTCTGTCTTCAAGGCCAAAGAACTGAAGCTCTCCACCAGGCTCTGAGCCACTGATGGGCCTGGAGGCCCCTCACCCAGGTATTCCTGGTAGCCACAGAACACAAGCCTCTGCCCAACTGGAAAGGGAGGCTACAGGTGTGTTGAAGAGAAACTGGCAGGAAAGGTGATGTCTAAGGCGACGGAAAGGGGGAGGGGGGTTAATTGTGGGATTTCCTTTCCTTTCAAGCCTGGAGGATGAGGTGGTAAGCTTTTTTGGTAATGAGAGGAAAGCAAATTTTGCTGCAGCCTCCCTTCCACCCTAGGTAGTGCACAGCATGGGAAGGTTCCAGGGAAGCGGAAAAAGAGCTGCCCAAGGCCTGTGTCCCGGGCTGGCCCAGACGCTGAGGGTCCTAGCCTTTAACCCCCTGGAATGGGCAGAGAGCATTTGGTTGGAAGGAGCTGCCACTGTCAGCAGGAGCTGTTATCTCCAAACACAGAAGACCGGCCACCTAGCTCACAAATGGCACCCTCACCTAGTGTGGATGAGGCCCTGAGTTCAAGCCCTGGCTCCTCGGGGCCTGGTGTAAATCACAGGCCCAATCAGGAGTGAGAATAGCACTTCTCAAAAATGTAGCTGGGAGCTGGCCACAGTACTGCATCCCTGTAATCCCAGCACTTTGGTGGCTGAAGCAGGAGGATTGCAAGTTCCAGTCTAGCCTGGGAAATTTAACAAGACTTCATCTCAAAAAAAAAATTTTTTTTTAATGTATCTGAAAATTACGAGAACCCAGAGGTTTGCTACATATGTGCACAGGAGCGCTCTGTACCATTTTTATAACTTCTCTGTAAACCTAAACCTATTCTAAAATTAAAGATTGACTTAAAATAATAACTACAACACAACTAGAGGTTGTGGAGTCAGCGGGAGACTGAAAGAAAAAGCAAAACAGGAAAATCTGCTGTGTATATGTACACTGGGCATGCACTCGAATAAAAGTGGGAGTCAAGCCTGGGCCATTCGCTTTACTCCTCTACGGGGGAGAAACAACAGCAGCCAGATAAGGAGCCCAGGAGATGCAAGAGTGGGCTCAAAGGGAGGCCTAGCTCTGCTTCCTTCAGGGGACTTAGGGCAAGATCTGGAGACTGCGGTTTCCAAGACCCACCCTGACATCCAGAGCCACATCCAGACCCTGTTCTCCAGGGTCCCTCTCTGCTCCTCATCGTCCCTCCCACTTACCCATTCAGGGCAATGCCAGAATCGTGTAAAAGGGGCCACTCACCAAGCTGTGTCTCCTCCTCGGGCCTCAGTGTTAGATCTGTAAAATGAGGTTGCTGTGAGCCTACCCACCTCCCAGAGCTGTGAAGATGAATGAAAACATCTTGCATGTTACGGAGTTCTATGTAGCCACAGGTGATTGAATAGTCACAGCAGATTTGTTCCTAACAGCCCTGAACTGAAAATAACCCAGATGGCAGCCAGCAGTGGAATAGATAAATATATATATTGTGGTTTACTCACATAATGGAATACAACATAGCAATAAAAAAAAGAACGACCCCTGAGACCTGCAGAAACACAGCAGCACCTCCTAGCCACCGTGTTGAGCGACACAAGCCAGATGCAAATGCAAACATACTGTGTGATTCAATTTAAACGAAGTTCAAGGACAGACAAAACCCATCTCTGATGGCGTGAGTAGGAACAGCAATTACCTTTGGGGGATACTGACTGAGAGGAGCAGAAGGGTTCCTCAGGGGCATAGGATGTTCTAGAACTTGATCTGGTTCATGTCTATGTACAAATCCATCAAGCTGTACATTTGAGTTCTGCTTACTTGATTGTATGTGAGTTATGCCCCATCAGAAAAATGTAAACACCTACAATTAATTATTATTTGGAGAACCCTCCATGACCGGGGCAAGAGAGGAGAATTAACAAATGATACTGCTGCTACTTCTCTCCTGCTCTCAGCCACCCCTAGGCCTCTTGGATTTTTTCGTTTGTTTTTCAACACAGGATCTACTATATAGTTAAGGTTGTCCTTGAACTGTGTGTAACCCAAGCAGGCCTCGAGCTCACGGTGATCCTCCCTCCCGCCTCAGCCTCCTGAGTACTGAGATTACAGGTTTACACCACCACACCCGGCCTCAAAATGTTCTTTATTCCTCCCTTCTAGTCCTCTACAGGCACCCATGCTACGGCTCAGGGGCTGTTCTAGAAGCTGGGTGTGGACCTCATCTCTCAGCCTTCCTCAGATAATTGAGATGTGAGCCAGGCCCTCAAGCCCCTCCTTCCCCAGTATGAGCATTTTTGGTAGCTACTTTTTTGGGGGGGGGGCACCTTGTATCAAACTCAGGACCTTGCGCTTGCAAAGCAGGCAGTGGCACCACTGAGCTAAGTCCCCAGCCCCCAGTATGAGCATTATTATCCCAGATTTGTCTAAGTGGCAAAGACCTGGGCACAGATTATCTGAGCCGTTTCCAGCTTTGGCCTCTAGCTCTGAGAAGGGAGAAAGATGCCCACTACATGCTGATGGGCATTTAATCCTCTGCAAGCCAGCTGGAAGGCAGCAGGGACAGAGCACAAACCCAGATATCTGATTCCTATACCCCCTGCCCTTCCCACCATTCCCATGTCCTCCCTAGGCCTGGGTCAGAGTAACACCTCACGGCATCTGTGGTGGTTGGCCTCCAAGATGGCCTCTATTGTTATTGTCTCCTGGCAAACGCGCCCTTATGTAGGCTCCTTCCACACCGAACAGCACTGACCTGTGCCCCAGGAGGATACTGTAGGAATATCAGTGTGTGCCTTCCAACACTTCTGCCTTGCTCTCTCAGGAACCACACTTGGGAAACCAGCCGCCATGTTGGGAGGACAGTGAAGAAGCGTTAGGAAGAAGTCCACGTGACTTCCTGCCAAGAGCCAACCCCAGTTTGCCAGCCACAGAAAAGGACCACCTTGAGAAAGGATCCTCCAGCTCCAGCAGGCCTTCAGATGACTACAGTCACCAGCCATCTCCTGCCAATCACCCCAGGAGAGGCCCTGGCCAGAGCGGGCCAGCTAAACCCCTCCCACAGCCCTACCTCAGAAACGGTACGAGATCGGAAATGTTTGTTATTGCTCTGAAATACAAATCTTGGGGGTGATTTGTTCACTCAGTCTGGTATGTATACACACCACAGCACGTCAGAGTGTGGCTCACACTGCAGAATAATCTGAAAGGTGGCGTGTTGAGGCATGCAAGAGTCAGCTGCTCACAACAGGGGTGGCCATAGTGTATTGAATAGGAAACGATCAATATCAGCAAGAAATCCTCAGTGTGTGGGAGAAGTGGGGAAAAGAAATCAAGCAAAGCAGAAGTCATGGCTCCATGGAGTTTCTACCACACCTCACCTATCCCAGTAAATGAAACCACCATCGTGACACCGGGCATGGCCAAAATCCCAGGATCATCCTTGAGCCCATTCTCTCACCTGCAGTGTCCCATCCACCAGCCAGGCTGTGAGCTTCACCTCAGAACACAGGCCCCTGAGCACCATGAATTAAGCCACCAGCCTACCTCACATGGTCAGTGTCAGCAGCCTCTTGGTCCAGGCCATGCTCAAGGCCAGAGGGCCCTTCTACAGTGGAAATCAGATTACGCCTCCCCTGCTCTTGATTCTCCAGTGCACACTGCTTCCTAGCCACACAGCCTTCTTTCAAGGATGACAGATTCATATAAGCTCAGGGCCTCTGCACTTGCTCTTTTCACCTGTCACATCACTACATAATATCATTTGGACCACACCTCACATTACACTTACTCCTACCGAGAAGTCCTCCCCAAGCACTGATCTCTCCGCCTACTACTCCATGTAGCTCCTTCTTCACTGGTTTGCACATTTATGGTCTATCTCCCCTATTAGAACATAAGCCCCATGAGGCTAAACGTCTCATCTGTCTTGTTCCCTGCAAGTGGAAAGAGCTGTACAAATGGTTGTTTAATGAAGCCTGCCTAGAAGCAGGGGTTGGACAAGATGACCCCCAAGGTGATCTGATTAGAAAATCCAGAAGACAGAGCTCCTCTGTGCTCTCTGGGCCCCCGTTGGCCTGCCCAGCAAGAGGAAAAGGCAGGGCAGCAGCAAGAGACTTGCCAGCTGGGTGAGGCCCACACTACCAATGGGTCCCATTTCCTATGCAGGAAAATCCTATAAAAAGCCCCATGTGTCTGGCCACTGCCCTGCCACCCACCCTCTCCCGGTGGTTGGCCTCCTCAGCAGGACTGTGCAGCCCCGGTGTGTGTGCACATGGCCAGCCAGGCTGCACCCCCAAAGTCATCTTTGACATCCCTGTCTCCAGGCACAGGCTGCCACACAACAAGGGCCCTCTTCTGTCACACTTCTCTGAGCCTACCTGGGCCACCTATTCTCCTTGCCTTTTACTGCTAGTAAGTTCATCCCCTTATCCTTTCTCTGTGTATCCTGCTGTTGCTAAGAGATGGAGAACAGAAGTCACGGAATCTTTTGGTGCCTCAGTTTTCCCATCTATAAGATAACATAATCCTTGGGCCTATGTTTCACGCTCTAGTGGAATTAAAAGCATAAAACCTGATAATGGATGTGAAATGCTTTCTAAAGCCTAAAGCGTTGTGCAAATATTCATTGTTACTAAGAGACACAGGTGCAGGAAGGGAAGTGAGAAGGTGGGCCTGGAGAGGAGCAAATCTGGGAGGTTCTAAAATTCAAGGTGGAAAAACTCTGCTCCAGATGAACAGAGCAAGGAGGGCGGTGGAGGAAAAGCGGAAACATCACACCAGAAGATAAGGCTGAGGGAGCCGAAGGAGTAGAGGATCACTGGAACATCAGAAAGTCACTCACCAATGAGGGACCCACAGGAGCCAGTAGGCATGACACCTAGACTTGACAGCAGGGAGACACCCCCAAAAAGGAAGATTCATAGCCTATGCAAGACCTCTCCAGACCCCTCCCAGACCTGCTGCTCCCCAGCATCCTCTCCAACGGGTCCCAGCAATGCTCCTGCACCATGTTTCTGAGCACCAGCCATGCACAGACCAGGTGCTGAGCTGGGCACTTCACACACATCATCTCTGGATCCCCCATGAGCTGCCTGAGGTCGCACAGCTAAGAGAAGCAGAGCGAGAGATGTGCCAGATTCGGGCCCCCACTGCTCAATGCCCCTTTGGAAAGTATTTGCCCTTCTGCTTCCATTCCCAGATTCCTTCTTTTCAGGTCAAGTGTGAAGAGCAAAGTAGGTGGAGGGGCAGGGAGGGAAGAGGGTGCAGGCATCTGCTGCCTAGGAAAGGAAAGGGAAGGCAGGTCTACCCAGGGGAGAGCTGAGTCCCCTCCACAGGACAGCCTCCTCCCCAGACTCAGAACGCACCCTGGGTGGCTGCACACCTCCACGACTCCAGGAAGCTAACCCATCACTCCTTTGTCCCTGTCCAAGGCTAAGAGAGCCTAGACGACCAGGATCCAGCACTCCCTCTAGTCTTCTTGCCTCAGTTTCCCTGTCCCATCAAGATCAGCCTGCAAACACAGATGGGGAAACTGAGGACCGAAATGAGGCCTGGCCAATAAAAAGAGGTTGCACGGTGGTGCCGAGGCTCCCGAGACCCAGCGTGATCCTGACCTTCCTCCTCCTCCTCCCTGCTTCCCTTACTGCCCTATTTCTCCCTCCAACCCTCCAGGGCCTTTGGCGGTAGACTGGAGTTTCTCAGGTTGCCCAAACTGTGCCAACCAGGGCTCTGCGCGGCCAGCGGGGTCCGTGAAATGTATAACACTCCCCCTGACCCCGACTCTCCCTAGAGATCCGGGAAAACACCTCGGAGGCCCCTCCCTGGGAGCCGCATCCCGCCAGCACCTCCCCGCCCGGGGGCCCCGGGCCTTCGCCTTCACCTTGACCCGCGGCCCGCTCCCAAGTCCCTGCCGCTTTGCATAAACAAAGAGAGGAGGAGGGACGACCCGGGCACCGCCCCCGACCGCCGGCGCCCCCTCCCCAGTCCCGGGACCCCGCGCCAGGCGCATCCCCAAGTACCCCGCGGGGCCCACCACCCCGCGGCCCCTTACCTTGGCCTGGCATTTCCGATGACAGGAGAAGCTGCAAGCTGCAAGGGGCGAGGCAGAAAGAAAGTTTTAGCCGCGAGGTATGAAATGGAAACTCCGGCGAAATCTCCTCCCACCCCGCCCGCGAGCGGCCGCAAGGGAAGGAAGGAGGGAAAGAGGGAAGGAGGGAAAGAGGGAAGGAGGGAGGGAGGAGGAGGAGGGACGAAGGAAGGGGGCGGAGGGGAGCGGCTGCCCGGGGCCTGCGGACCCTCGGAGCGCGCGCTGGAATGGGAGTCGCGGGGAGCGCAGGGGCCGCCCCCGCTGGAGCCGGGCCAGCGGCAGAGGTAGCCGCGACCCAGCTCCCTGCGGGCCCTGCCAGCAACCAGGGGGCCTTCTCCGGTCCACACCGCGGGCAGGAGGCAGACAGCAGCCGCAGACCTCTGCGCGAGACGGATGGCCCGCACACCCGTGCACACTCACTGAGGACCTCTCCTCCAGACACAGCCGGGTACACAGCGATGCCAAGGAGACCCCCTGACCCAGGCTGCCAACACGCACCATTTCATGGGAGACCTTCGGAGTCCACCCGACACAGACATGCGCTGGAGCGCGCGAGCGCGCGCGAACACACACTCACGACTCGCTCCCTCCTCCCACTACCAGAAGCTGGAATCAAATTTCCTATCAGGTTCCCAAAGCCTGGAATGTCCCCAGCCCTGCCTCTCCACCCCCTAGAGCCCTGGAACTCCTCCGAGGCAACTGGCTGCCTCGCTCCTCCCTCCCCACCCCACCACCCCACCTTTCTTGTCAAGGGTTGGGCTGAGGAGGTCTTCCCAGCTAGTTTCTGGGCCAATTTGGATCTTGGTGGCTGCCCGGGACCTGCTGAGGTCGGTGGATCAGGCACTGCTTAGAGAACCTGGGCAGGAAAGAAGGGGAGCCACTCTGACCCCCGGACCTTAGCCCCAGCCCAGGGCAGTGGCCAGCTTGGCCCTTCTGTCCCATCTACAGCAGCTCACCCCATCCATCCTCCAGCTGACCTGATCTCAGCAGAGCACCACGGAGGGACCGAAGTGCAGATTCAGGCTGGAGCAGCCCAGGGGCTCCAGGTCTCCCACACTAAGTCTTGCTGGCCTCGGGAGTGGGAATGGGAGGGGGGGGGGGCACAGTGGGCAGACTGGGTGGAGGCTGGGGTCACACAGGCCTAGCTTGAGACCTTCTCTCAGAACCTTGTCTTGGCCCTACTTCAGCCTATGACTCAGCCAGTGATGAGCAAGGCTTTCCTGACCCCAGTAGCCACCCAGCCCCACTCAGGTACGCCACCTCTAACCGCACCAGGATGTACCCCGTAGCCACCCAGCCAGCTGGTCTCTCCCACTGGCCTTGCACCCCAACCCACCCCAGGTGGCAACTCCCTCCCTTCCAGAAGCATTCCCTCTCTCCCCACCCCACCCTTGCCTTCTTTAGCCCCAGGGAACGTGAAATGGAGAAGGCCTCTGCCACCTGACCTGAGTTTGGAAGATCCTCACTGCCACCAGTCTGAGGGAGCTTCCTCCATCATCACCATCTGGATTCCCACCCTCCTTCAAGAAAGGGATCTGTGTGTGTGTGTGTGTGTGTGTGTGTGTGTGTGTCAGAGTAGTACCTGCTACACAGCAGAAGCTTAATAAGTGTGTGCTGAGTTGAACCTGACAGATCTCCCCTAGAGTTTATATTTACCTCATTAAATCACCTTGCTCTCAGCCTGTTCCTGAGTTGTAAAGCCCTACAGTATCCCATATTCAACCAAAAAGGCATCCCAAAGTGTCCACTTGGGGACTTGCAACACCAGTCTAGATACCACACGCACCATGGCGGCCAGAGCTCTGTCTTCCTCCTCCAGTGTACTTCTACCTTTCTGATAGCTGCAAGGGTGCAACAAGATCCTTCACACCTCCGGGCCTTCGTACTTGTGGCTCCAGCTGCCTGGTACACTCTCCCTCGCCCTCACATTCTACTGGTGTGAGTCCCTCTAGAAGTCCATGCAAAGCCTTCTCCTCTCCTAACCACTCAAATCAAAGTAGGTTGCCATTATCCTTTCTCGGCATCATGATTGTTTCCTTTCTTGCACAGCTCAGTCTGAAGTTATCACAGGTAACTCCCTACCAGACTCAGGAGAGCAGGGAGCATGGTCTAAACACATTTACACCACATCGCCAGCAGCCAGGACAGTGTCTGCTTCCGACTCAGGGACCATGTAGCATTTTTGTGCAAATTAGAAGCAAGCCTTCCTGCAGTAGACCAGCCCCTGACCACAGGTGGACTAGTGCGCACCGTCTGTGGGAATGGCAAGAAGGTGCCTTTCTCCGGGCTGACACAGCCCTGGGCTAAGATACGTGGGTTGGTGAGCACAGCATAGGCAGCCTCCTGTGCTCTCTTGGGTACATGACCATTCAGAGCAGCCCTGCCTGTCACACAGTGGACAGACACTCAGCAGCCACCCGCAAGTGGAGGGCAAATGGAGATGTTCCTGGGCAATAACAGCACAGGGTGCTGAGTGCTCCCAACAACTTGCCGTTGGTGGCGGCATGGTGGGAAATAGGGGGAAAAGACCTGTCCCCACACACTGAATGCAGGTGGCAGATCCCAGCAGGTCAGACATGGCCGATCTCCACCCACAGCATCTGCCCTTAGCTTCATCCTTTTTGCTGAGTCCCCTCCAAAGAAAGCTCCTTTCCATTCTTGGTCACCTTGCGCAGGTTTTCTCTCAAGGGGGAGCCCTCATGCTGTCACCTAAAGCTCAGCCATGCATTCTGCTGGCCTCCCACTTCCCAGGTCAGTGACACAGTCAGGGTACTACACAAAAGGAAACCAAGGCAGCCAGCCCCCTAAGGTGTTATTCCTGCCTCTGTTGCCCCTCCCACACTGAGGGCCTGATTCACGTAATCAGCCAGTGCTATGGTTTGGATCTTGAATGTCACCCAAAGCCCCATGTTCTAAAGACTTGGCCCCCAGCCCATGGTGCCACTGGGAGTGGTGGAACTCTTAGGAGGTAGGGTGGGTGGGAGGAGGTTAGGTCATTGGGGGCATGTTCTTGAAAAGGACATTGGGACCTTGGCCCCTTCCTGTGTCTCTGTTTGCAGGCCTTCTCTGCCACACACATCCTCCATGACGTATTATCCCACCACAGGCCCAGAGCTATAGGGTCAAGTGACTATGGGCTGAAACCATGAACCAGAATAACCCTTTCCTCCTTTAAGTTAGTTTACTCAGGTATTTTGTCACAGCGATAAAATTCTAACAGAACCAGATACTATAGAAATGACAGTGTGTGGCTTCTGAGACATAGCCATGAAAGGCATTGTGACTTCAGCTTTGGTCTCTTGGATCACTTGCCCTGGGGTAAGCCAGGCATCATGTTGTAGGACACTCTGGCAGCCCTGTGGAGAGGGCTGTGTGGTGAAGAGCTGAGGTCCCTACCTCCAGCCAGCACCTGCTCACCACTCTGTGGGTGGACACGGATCTTCAGTCCCAGTTAGGCATTCAGATGGTACAGCCTTGACCAACATCTTGACTCATCTTCCTAAGAGACTCTGAACCAAAAGAAGTCATTCCTGAATTCCTGACTCTTGGAAACGATGTGGAATGAGCTGGGCATGGAGGCACAAGCATGGTGGCACGTGCCTGTAATCCCAGCTACTCAAGAGGCTAAGGTAGGAGGATAGTGAGTTGAGGCCAGCCTGGGAAACTTAGAAAGACCCTGTCTCAAAATCTCAAAATAAAAAAGGTTGGGGATGTAGCTCAAAGTTCCCCAAGTTCAATCCCCAGTGTGTTTGGTGGGGGGTGCTATGTGAAATGACAATTCTGGATTTGTTTTAAACAACTAAGTCTAGGGGTCATTTTTCACACAGCAGTAGATAACTAATATAGAAACCAGAACACAGGATGCCTCAGGAAGCAAAGGACCAGCAGCTGGCTGATGCTGGGACCAAAGACCAGAGACATCTCCCCAGCCCTACCTTGCTCCTCTAACTCCTCTTCCCTTTCCCCACCCTACCATTAATCATCATGTCCCAAGAAGTAGCTCCAAAGAGTCTCAGCCTTCCTCTCCAGTTCCCAACTATGCACCAATTCACACCTGTGATCCTTCCCTGGGCCTGGTCTCCCTACCAGCCTTGTCTCCCTGTGTCTTAGTCACTTTCTTATAGCTGAGACACAATACCAAACACCCAGGAGGTAAAAGAGGAAAGGTTTCTTTTGGCTCACATTTACAGTTCATAATAGGCTGGCTTCCAGGCAAGATAGCATGGCAGAGGGGCATAGCAGAGAAGAGCTGCTGATGGCTTGGCAGATGGGAGGCAAAGAGATCAAGGGAGAAGCCAGGGAGAGAGATAACTCTTCTAGGTCACACCTCCAGTGACCTGCCTCTTCCAACCAGACTTCACTTTCTACTAGAAATTCAGCTATGAGCCCCTATAATCCAATCAACTTCTAAAAGCCCCATCCATGAGTGCAGGAGGCTCTTGGAGGACATCCATCTAGATACGAACCATAATATTTCATCACCGGCCCCCAAAAGACTCATGTGCATCCCTTCATAAAAAATGCATTTGTCCATCACTAAGAGTTGCCAAACTCCTAACAGTTCCGGCACTGCTGAAAAGTCCAAGTCCAAAGTCTCTTCCGAGACTCAAAGCAAACTCTTAGCTGAGAGCCCCTGTACAAATCAAAAAGAAAATTAAACACCGCTGACATACAATGGCACAGGGTAAACATGCCCATTCCAAAAGGGAGAAATAGGAGGCTAGAAAACAATGGGGCCAAACCAGACCAAAACCCAGCAGGGTAAACATTAAATCTTGTAGTCCCATGTCCAGCATCTGGGGCAAGTTGTGGTGAGATGCAAACTCCAAGGGGATTGGGCAGCCCTGTCCCTGAGGCATTACCAGTGGTTGTAAATGTCATGGTTTCTCTCTTAGGTTGATTTTGCTCACTCCTTGTGACTTTCCTCAGACATTTCACGTCCCTGGCTTCTCCAACTTCCTGCAGTCTCCACTGCACTTTCAGCTTCACCGTCACCGCTTCATGCACTGTCCTCTCAGGGCACATTGCCTGGCTTCCCAGTCCTTCTTCTGAAATTTGTGTGGAAGATTTCCTGACCTGACAACTCTTGCATATTGCATGTGCCTAAAAACAGCACCATATGGATGGTACCAAGGTCTGCTGCTAGCTCAAACAGTAGCCAGACCCCCTTGAATTGTGGCTGCCCTGGCTTCTGAGTACCTGGACGGCTGAGAAAGGTGACTGAATCAGGAAATCAATGTCCTAGGCTGTTATTTCCTCCAGCAGGAAAGCAAAGTCACTTGTGCAACATTGAGCCTTGGGAAGGGCGGGTTCCTGCTAGTTCCTGTGATGCCCTCAAGCTATCTTTGCTATCATCCTGTTACAAAGTACTTAGCTTCTTTTCAATGTTAATCTTTTTGGCAATCAAACTCTCCTCTGCCCCATCTTCACCTGGGCTTTCTTTCTGGCAAAATTGAACATTCTTACATGGACTTTTTGCTCCTTTCTCACAGTACATCTCACTAAAGGCAGGAAGCAGTAACCATACTACAGCCTGAATATTGGACTGCCTTGAAATTTCCTGTGCCAAATTAATTAATCCATCACCCTTAATCTCAGTCTCCCACAGAGTCCCAGGACCTGAGCAAAATGTACACAAATGTACACTGACAGCCCAACTGTCAGTGGAGTGCTTCTTCCCAACTGAAGCCTCCTGAGCCTGGTCTTTATTGTCTGGAGTTTTATCCACATTCTGAGCTCTAATCAGAATCTCCTATCAAGCTCAGCTTACAGCATTCTAGGGCTGCTTCTCTAGCTGGCATCTCCAAACCTTTCCAAATTCCTGCAAGCCAGTTCCAAAGGCTTCTGAACCACACGGTCAGGTAGTGTTACAGCAACAACCCCACTCGTAGTACAAAACTGTGGCTTAGTTACTTTCTGATTGCTAAGACACAATACCTAACACCCAGAACGTAAAGAGGAAAGGTTTATTTTGGCTTGTGTTTACAGTCCATGGTCAGCTGGCTCCAGGGCAGGACGGCTTTGCAGAGGGACATGGCAGAGGAGAGCTGCTCATGGCATGGTGGACAGGAAGTAGAGAGAGATCAAGGAGGAACCAGAGAGAGAGGTAAACCTTCCAGACCATACACCAAGTGACCTGCCTCTTCCAAGACCATACCTTTTAGCTGCAAGTCAGCTATAAGCCCTCATTATCCACCTTCTAAATGCCCTGCCTATGAGTTCATGAGACTCTTGGGGGACATCTAGAAGTAAACCATAATATCCTGTGATTGCAGACCATTCTCAAATACAAACTGACTATATCACATCCCTACCTAGAAGCTTTTATCCAGTTTTGTGCATCTCGCAATACCCTGAACCACTTGGTCTTGCCTCCACCTCTACCTGTGCTCCAATGGTTTGTGCCATACAAGACTTCCCAAATGGACCTTTGAGTCTTTAAGGAGTGGGTTTGGAATGGGGAGCTCATATACATCTTCAAGGCCCAGTTTCCTCTAGGACACATGACAAGGCACCATCTTGGAAACATAGGCCAGGCTGTCACCAGTCACTAACTGCTGGCACCTTGCTCTTGGGCCTACAGCTCTGGAACTGTAGGCAATAAATGTCTTTTGCTTGTAAATTACCCAGCCTAAGGTATTTTGTTATAGCAGCACCAATAGACCAATACATT